ACGTGCAGTACAAAGGCGACGAAACGTGGCACCTGTGTCCTGCGGATCAATCCCTTGAACTTGCACAAAAAGGTGTGTTCAGCAGCGGCAGTATTATCTGCCCAGCGAAGGAGGAAGTTTGCACGAGTCTCAAAGGAGCTGTGCTCCCAGTCGAAAATGAGACAGATGTTCTCAAGGAGAATGAAAATGACGACATTGCACCAATTGCAGATGCTAATCCTGTCACTGTTGATGAGGTTCACAACACTCCCAATGATGGGAGCACTGGCAAAGACGGTACTTTGACCGTCAACTCTGGCACTTCAAGTGGTAACCGACAACAAGAGAGCACACGTACTGAAACCAACAGCGGTGAAAGAAACAACAACCAAAACAATGACAGCTCCATGACACCCCAGGAAAGCAGAAATACGAATACCAGCGATGGTGAAAGAGGAAACACAGAAAACAACAGCAGCACCACTACCACCCAAGAGAGCGGAAATACGAATACCAGCGATGGTGAAAGAGGAAACACCCAAGTCAACGGCAGCCCCATTACCACCCAGGACGATAAAAATACGAATACCAACAGCCGTGTAAGAAGAAACGCCAATGAAGACGGCAGCTCCATTCCCATCCAGGACAGCAGAAATACGAATNTATACACATACTTCACAATTTTTGGAAGGAGATGCATTAACAGATAATTATGTATACTCAGATGAGGGTGGTAACTTTGGTACCTGGAAAAGGCCTGGAAACGAAGATCTTGGGGATGATAATGAAAGTATGTCTCCAAGTGGTGGTGGTGGAGGAAAAGGATTTGGATTTGGGGGTGAAGTGGGATTAGATGGAAGATGGAGACANGTATGGTGACACCTCTGTTCTGGACTTCTCTTGCCTGTGTTGCCGCTATGGCTTCTGTGCTGCTGGTTCCATGAACGCACGGGCTGCCACCCGATACACCCATAACAAACACTTGCTCACAGCATATGGTTCTTCCACGCATGTCGTTGTGTGCCCTTTGCGTTTGGTAAGACGTATGCACTCTTTTTTTTTTCTTTTTAATATAATACGTAAATGGAACTGAGAACATAATTTTGCGCCAGGGTGTTTTCTGAGGCGTTTTTATCCTATACTCTATCATTTTTTTTTTCTTTTTGGGCTTTTTTTTTCTCGAAGATTGTGAATAACAATCTTCTACTTTTTTTCTTGTTTTTGGAACTTTTCTCTTATTATTGTGGTCATTGCGGTTGTTTTGTACCCCAAGCGGTTGGATGATTTCCCGTTCGGGATGTGTGGAGGGACTTTTTCTTTCTTTTTCTTTGATTTATTCTTCCTTTAGAGTATCCTAGGCGGCACAAGGCGCCGCAGGAAATTGAGGTTGTACTCCATGCGGGGTGCCCTGCCGCCGGGTTTCGGGCGGGAATGAATGGGCGAAAAGAGGCGTGGCAAAACCCATTTTCATTGCCGATACCCCCTCTTTGGGGGCGATGCTGGGGCCGTTGTTTTGCGGTGCAGGGCAGGTTCGGCGCGTGTGTGTTGGTGCTGCTGCGGTGTTGTTGCGGGGTTTGGCTCTTTTTGCCTGTGGGGCGGTGAGCAGCCGGGGAACAGCGACCCTCCGGCACACCGCAGCCCTACCGGCAAATGCCGCCTTTCGCCTCAATAGAACAGGCGAGTGCCTGTGATTGTTGCCGGTCTGCGGTTTTTTTTTTCTTGGTTTTTTGCCGCGCTTTCCCACCGCTGCGGCGTTGGAACGGGGAAGGGCCCCGGGATCTTCTTGGATAAAGTTTTGTCCAAGGACGATTCTGCTGTTCCCGGTGCTGTATGACGTTTTTAGCCTATGATCCCGTGAACTCTCAAGAAGAGAATTTGCTGGCCCATGGCTTCCCTCAAAATAATAAGGGATAATGGACATTGGCTCCAACTTTCGACGGCCAAACGCCACCAGGGGAACGCCATTCCTAAGAACGCATGTATTGAAAATGAAAAAAAAATTTTTTTTAAGGAGACCACTCACTTCAAACATTTAGTGAGTGCATTTAGTTTCTTTGAATAAATTCATCTACTCCACCTTGGCGACATATGGAGGCAGCCCCCATTGCCAAAGGCATCTTGGTCTAAAACCCCACCCACGGCGGCCAGCCCAACCCATGGGAGGCAGAGGCCCGCAGCCAGAGCGCAACGCGCGGTGCCGCAAACAAAAGCGCAACCACCACCAGCACACGTAGAAAACACAAATCACGACGGCAAAAACCAGATGGCGCGCCTGGCGCCCCCCAAAAAAAATACAAGGGTGGGGGTCCGACCCCGCCACACGGACAAGCCCGAGAAGGCCTGGGACACCCCCTGACCCCACCAAGGCGGAGCAGCACAACGACACAGAGGCTACGAACGACCAAAAGAAGAATAAAAACCAATAGAACGCCAAAATAGCAGAGGCGCAACTATTGTAGAGGCCGCCTGCTTCGAC